CGCACGGAACAATCATTGCAAACAACGGCGACAATGCGTTGAGTAACCGCGCGTTTCTGTTGCCGTATTTCTTAGAAACAAGCTCTATCTTTGTATTATAGAGTTATAAGTTACTTTTTCTACTTTATGGACGTTCTAAGCCTCTTCTTTATGTATTGTGGACAACAAGTCTCTTTCTTATGTATTATGAACGTTATAAGCCTCTTCCTTATGTATTATGGACGTTATAAGTTATTTCCTTATAGACATTACGGAATGATATTATATTCATGCGTGTACGTGTAAATACTTTTAGGAGGAGGAAACACGAAGGATGGCGGCGCACAATGATAGTCTCAGCCTAAGCCTACCGGATTTTGAAGAATTCAGTAAACTGGCACTTGATGAACCAATAGATGATGTAGTCATGATAGAAAAGCCAGCGGATGAAGAAAAATTGCATGAAGGGAGTGTTTTTCAAAGTTGGGACGAGGCACTTAATACAATCAGTGTATATGCAAGACAATGTGGATTTAAACTAAGAAAAGGCCGCATTGAGAAAACTCCTGATGGAGTTATACGAAAACGGACAGTACTTTGTGAGCATAGTGGCGAGTACAAGCCTAGAAACACACTAGTCAATAAAGCAAGTACGAAGTATATTAAGTGTCAATGGCATGCAAATTTGTCGCAACCAATACAGAATAATCCTCATGGAAACGTTTACGTCACCACTATAAAAAATGAACACAACCATGAACTATCTTCCTTTCGGATGGAATTCTTAGACAATAGTAGGCCTACACAACAAATGCTTGAACGGATAGAATTTTACATGAACGATGTTGGATTGAAACCATTACAAGTTCAGAGAGCTCTACAGAAAGAGTTTCCTGATTGTGAGGTTTACCTTCCTGAAATTCACAAAGTAATGGCAAAGTTCCACCACAAAAAACGGACAGATATCTCGAACGATGCTGCATCTTTATATGAAAGCCTATTAAGAAGAAAGGACAATGACCCTCGTTGGTATATTGCTATTGACTGGGATAGAGAAACGCATTGTCTTCGACGGTTGTTTTGGACCTGAGCAGATCATTCTTTGGATGGAATTTGGTGATATAATCCTGAATGATAATACAGCAAAGACAAATCGTTATGATATGGCTCTCTCACTCTTTTTGTGTATTGATAATCATGGAGCTTCTCGCTTAGTTGGGTGTGCACTCACAGATGATGAATCGGCTGATGCTCACCGATGGATTTTACGTCAGACAAAGCAAGCTACGGGCAATTGTGTACCTGCGGTGATTATGACTGATGCAGATCCTGCACTAGACCTAGCAATCGCTGAAGAATATGAAGAATCGTATGCCATGCATTGCATATTCCATATTGCACAAAACCTTCCACGGAACCTCGAAACTCGATTGGGTGAACAATATAGGGAATTTGTTAAAGACTTTTACATAACACGTAATGCGCTCATTCCAGAAATCTTTGAACGTAAGTGGGTACAACTTATAGAGAAGTATAATCAGCCAGAAGTTGTCAGATACCTACAGCGAACATTATATTCATCAAAAAGAGCATGGGCACGTGCATATACAGCAACAAGATTTACTGCGGGCATTCAGACAACATCACGAATTGAGAGTTATAATGCTCAAATCAAGAGGTTCATTCTAAATTCCAATGTCAGTCTTCTAGAACTTACTGAAGCTTTGGAAAGAAGCATAAATGAAGAGAGCAAAAGGGCAAAGTATAAATATTGGAAAACTCGATTTCCATCAACATCCTCAGCCACTCTATCGCAAACATTATTTCCTAAACTTGATGAGACATTGTGTCATTTTCTCACACCTACAATGCTAAAAGTTCAACGTGCCGAAATAAAAAATTGTCTGAACTATCAAGCATCTGCTATTACGCAGGAGGAGATCATTGAATATCAGGAGGTAATTATTGTTATTCTTAGAGTAAACTTTTATTCTTAAACTGATTTTACAAACATATTTAATATCATGTTATTTTATTCAACTTCTTAGTTTGAATCAAATACAACTCAATTCATTGAGGATGATGAAGATACACTACAAATTTCCATGAATTATATACTGAAGAATGTAGATATTGACAGAATAGAAGAAACCTGGGCCATCCGTGCAGTTACCGCTTCAAGATTCTGCCATTTTATTATTCTTCTTACTGACAGAACTCATATCTGCTCTTGTCTGGGACTTGTAAGTCGTGGGATAGTTTGTCGTCATTTCTTCCAAGTAATGTTATGTAGTAGAACAGCTGTATTCCACATTACACTTGTTCATAAACGATGGTACAAAGAGATTCATAGCAATCCACAAGAAACGCCCTATCATGTTGCTACAAGGTTTGATAAAGATAATGCCCAACATCAATCAGCAGAATTGGTTAGACGTAATACAATTGATTGGTTTGTATCTCCAGCAGACCTCCGAGAGGAAAGAAGAGAAGATATCAATGAGCGAAAACTATATGGAGAACTGTGGGGAATTGCGCGAGATATTACACAAAGAGCTGTTCGATTTCGCAGGCGAGATATTCTTAAGAAACTGCAGGATCTGTTAACTGAAATGCAGCAAAGTGAACAACTAGATAATCAGACTGATGAGAACATCAATAATAACGATGATGATTCACGTGATCATGAAAACGGTGAAGAAGACAATAAAGAAAACGACAAAGAAAATGACCCGTCAACTGATCGATTCCTTCAGAACCCAAAAAAACGCAAAGCAAAAGGTCGCCCGAAAAGTTCTAAGCGAATCAAGCGAGCAGAAGAGTTGAGACCAGTCAAGCATCAAAACCAGTGTGGTAATTGTGGA